GAGCCCTTGCTGGGAGGGAGGGGTCCTGCTGGCCGGCAGGGTGCCAGCTACCCCATAGGTGTTTTACACAGGAGGGGGCCTGGAGGCCTGGCCTGGCCAGGCGTGGGTACACTGGCCTTGGGTTTGTTTGGCTTTCCGTGGTGTAGCCCCCTCCCCCCCCTGCGATTCCACCCTTAGTCTCACCTTGCCAGTGGCATTCAGGCTGGAGCCTGCCTCCAGGCCACCCGAGCAGGGCCAGAAGTGGGCAGGTGGGTCTGCAGCACTCAGAAGTTGCCATCTTTCCAGGCCTGCAGCAGCCGTGATTGAAGACAGTTCTCTCCGCCGCTCCTGTTGCCCAGGTGGTGGCAGGTGCCGCCAGAGTGAGCTGGAGAGGGGAGACCTGCTGTCTTCGGCTTTGTGCACGAGGCTGGAGGCCGGTTGATTTTTCACTGTTTCCCAGCATCTCGGCTGGAGAGAAAGCATGAGCCCTGTGTCGTATGAAAGTGAAGCGGCAGCCGCAGAACCAGCATGCTAATGGGCGGCAAGCTCAGGGCCTTGCGTCCCACGTCCACATCCCAGACTGCCCAGATGCACAGTGTGCCTCCTGCAGAACCTACTTTATTGTATGCTTTTCAATCTGGAGCAAACCCAAACGATGAAGGGACTTCAGAGGTGTGTGGAGAAATGGGGAGATTTAAAGTATTTTCCACACAGTTTTTGAAGCCCCTTCATATGGGTTTGTGTTTTGATTCGACAGGCTCTTCTCCATTCGAAGTCATAGGGCTTTTTCTTCATCAAAGTGGGTGAGAAGTAGGATTGCCGTGAGGCACATCTGTCTGAGATTTGAGCGCCTGAGTGTCTTAGAGTCAGGCCCCTCAGGCCAGGAAGCCACCCTCCTCAAGAGCCAGGGTAAGCTGGCAGCAATTCATGCTGCCCGAGGGTCCAACATGGTCACTGGAGACCCAGAGCCGACATAGCAGCTGACCACCTATGTGGCCAGGGAACAGGCCTTGGCTTGGCTCGAGTGAGGTGGTTTGCTGCTCGCTTTTTAAAAAGAAGATGGGCTTCGGTCCAATGTTTCATAATCTCAGGTGAAAACCGGCAAACCAGCCTTTCTGGACAACCCAGAAACTCTGGCCCCACATCTCGAGCATCACCAACCAGGAGAAGCCGAGGAGCCCCGTCGGGCCCTGCCGTCCCTGTCACGGAGGCCAGTGGCTAGGCCTTGGGGTGTTTGTCAGCGACCAGTGAGGGCCTCTGCGCTTTTTCATCCTGTTGTACAATAGGCTTGCTCTTGTACAAGCAGGGCTGCTTGTTGTACAAGCAGGCCCCGCCTCCTTGTCCTCACTCACCAGGGCACCTGCCGGCCCTTGGAGGCCCTCGACTCTACAGCCCATAGGCTGTCTCTCAGGTGCCTGCTCACCTTGTGTGTGAAGGGTCTGAAAGCAGAGGGGAGGCTGCCCCTGGCATGGTGCTGTGCCCGCCCAGCCTAGTCCCCCAGAGCCAATTCAATTTGTGTCTCCACTGCGAAACCAGCTTTGTTTTTCCAGCTCCCAGGAGCTCTCTGCCTTTGGGCCAGGTCGTGCCACCCTCTCTTAGGGGAAACCATCCGAGGTTCCCTCTGACAGGGCTCCGCTTTATACAGGTTCCGCTGCCACCGGCTCTGCTGTGTCCCCTGGAGTTCCACTCTTGGGGAAGCGCCGCTGTGCCACACAATTGTTCCAGAACGACAGTCGTCTCCCACCAGGTGGCTCTGTTCCTTGCCCGCCTCCATGGGCATTCCCCCAGGAAGGGATTTGGTGTGTTGTAGGATCCATCACCTGGGGCAGTGCTCCTATAGGTCTCGGCTCCCAAGAAGCGGGAGGGCAGGTGGGAGGACAGGGTTAGTGTCCCCTAGCCACCAGTGTCTGGCACCCCTTCTCCCCTCTCTCCACCTTTGCTCGCTGGCTTTTGGGTTGGTGCTTCTCAGCGTCTCTGCATCTGAGCTCGGGGTGAACAGAGTCACCTGAGGTCCTTTCTGGAAGTCGCTACCGTGCATCGCAGCTTACGGCTGAAGGCTGGGCTCGTGCTGCCCAGAAGGATGTAGAATCCCCCCAGCTGCATGCTTTCCCCCTCAGTTCTTGCAGGACTCCGTAACCTTCCTCCCTCAGCGCCTCTCAAGTCTCCCAAGGGTGGGGGCAGTCCTCAGCGCTGAACTGATCAGCGACATCATCATAAACAGGGAAAAGATCAGAAGTGTCAGGGATTCCATCTTAGAGTCACGAAGCGTGTCCAAGGCCTCTGTCCAGGCTTCAAAAGCAAAGGTGTGCCTGACCCGGGCCAGGGGGTTTGCCGTCACCTCATCTGCTGGCGGTGCAAGCTCAACAGTGAGCAAAGAGCAGAGAAGCGTCGACACGTGTGAGCTGGGGGGCTGGCACCGGATCGTGAAAGTCCCGCGGGCTGCCGGAGGAGCAAGCCCATCTGTCTCTGAGGAAGCCCCTGATGGGCAGTCCACCCAGCTTCCGAGGTCACCCCTCCTGTGTTCCAGGGCGCAGGCGAGGGGAGGGCCCTCCTGAAAGTCCCTCGTGTCACTGCCTCGAGTCATGTGGTGTGTCCTGGTTGTCGACGCCTGTCACAGTAGTGAGAGGGGCTGCTGGGAGAGGCTAAGCGCGTGGCAGGCGAGTGTCTCCTGCTTTCACAGAGAGCAGCCCCTTCACCTGCCCTCGTCCCGCTGTCATCGCGCCTGCCTCCCCTCCTCCTCAGGCACTGTCTCCAGTCCCCCATGATGCACCTGACCCAATACAATACGACCTCCGACACTCTCGCCACAGGATCTCCTTGTGACGTTCCCAGGCAGAGCCAGAATGTTATCTGCCCATCTCAGGAGGCTGTTTGCAATCTTCCCTGTGTTTGCAAGGCTTGGGCAGCCCGGCATGTGGGGCTGGCTTCCAGAGAGCCCTCGGCGTCTCCACCAAGGCAAGTCTGGCATGAACTGGGCTGCCCTGCCTGGTGAAGCACGGGCAGGGACAGGCGCTTCTGTTGTGGCTTCAAGCCCTTGCAGTGCCACCCCAGCCCTGGACCCGAAGTCAGAGCGGCTCAGCCCTGGCGCTGCAGAGGGCCGTGGGCGCCCAGGGCAACAGGGTCGCCAGTGCCCCCGGCAGGGAAGCTGGGCTCTGCAGATGGGTGGTAGCCGGGCTTTAGATGCTGGAAAGCATGCAGTGCTGACTGTCGGATCCCTGGCTTGACCCAGATGAAGGCACTTTGCCTCCTGGGCCTTCCAGGCTTGTGGTTGCCATACCTCCCCCAGCTGTCTCCCCAGGGCCTGAGAGCAAGAGTCAGCCTGCTCTCTCTTCAAAGAGTGGGACACATGAACACCTGGTGACAACCTCACCTTTCCTTCGCTGGGGGCTCCTCGTCAACAGAAACATTGTTCCCTGGGACATTGCTCGTACCTGCCCAGCCCTTCTGGGTGTGCCAAACATGCAGCTGATGGTGTGTCTGACAGAGGAAAGCCGGTGGCTGGGCGGGGGAGTGGATTCAGAGTTGGCCCGCCAGTTTGGGAGCCTCGCACTACACCCCTCTGGTCTCCAGTCAGCATGTGGTACCTAGTCACCACCCCAAACCAGAGGGAGGTGGCAAGGGGTGTAAATAGGACCCCCAACTTTTCAAGAGAAGAGTAAGCCCTGGGCTTACTGAGAGGCCTCTTAGAAGACAGGCCGGGCTACCTGCTTCTAAAAGAGTCACCTCAGCCCTGCTGGAAAGTCCAACACAAGGGGCTTTCAGGCCTCTATCTGGGGAGGGAGGGGCAGAGCCTTCCCCAAGGTCCCCCAGGAGTTGGGTCAGAACCTGAAACCCCCACTCAGCCATCTGCACAAGCTGGACCCCCTGCCCTTTCTGTCAGGGACCAGAGAGGAATGCAGGTTGTCTGCAACAGCTGCTCCCCTCTGATCTTGGACCACATGCAAGGAGGGCTGTGTGCCGAAAGAACATTGTCTATCAAAGCAGGCGGGGCATAGTGAGAGGACCTCTGCTCTACACCCCCACAGCCTTCCCGAGTTTGGCGACAGGAGTGCCAGGTGCCTGGGGAGAAGCTCTGGGACGGAGTGCCAGCTGGGCGCTGGATTGGGAGTCGGACAGTGCAGGTTTGGGTGAGGGTGAGAACAGCAGCATGGCCAGGCGGGCCAGGGGCCACAGCCCCTGCTCCGTGGGAGGCCTTCCTTCCACCTCACCACGCCTGCCTGTCCTGCATTGCCACGGATCAACCGGGAAGCCAACCGGGAAGCCCGGGCCACCACGGTCTGTAAGGGCACCTGGCACTGTCAGCGAGTGTGTCTCCTCTGTTGTTCCATATGCTTTGTAAGTCAGAAGCCATGGTCCTTTAAGAAAATGGACGCTAAGCAGGGCAGGACCGTGGTCGCACTGTCCCAGGCTGGTAAAGGGACGACTCACTGGCTGCCCTTTCCTCATAGGCTGCCCCCCAGTCCCCCATGCTGGGCGGGACCAGCTTCTCTCAGTTCACCTTCACAGCTGTTCCCAGCTTAGCTGCTACCCGCAGCTCTTTGTTTGGGAAACTGAGTCAGAGAAGCGTGGCAAGCAGTCACTTGTTCAGGAGCTCAACCGTGCTCTGGGGCCCTGGGGCTCAGGGCCCATCCACTCCCTCCACTGAGAGGACATAGGGCCCTGTGGTGTGAGCACCCAGTCCCAGAGGGTGCTGAGGCTGGGGCAGCTGTCCCTGCTCCCTGACCTCCTGGGACTCTGAGCAGACAGGACCTCTGACATCGAGGGCCTCAGGGCTCCCTCCGGCCCCCCAGAGTGAGGCCTTGCAGCCTTCTGTGGCGGCATGCTGGTGAGCAGCTGTCACCCTAGCTTGTCACCATATTGTCTGGCCCCTTGGCTGAACTGCGCTAGGATGCCACACCAGCCCCTCCAAGGGGCAGCCCAGCTTTCTGGGAGTGGGCTGGGGGCTGCCTTTGGGCTGGCAGGGTTGGGCAGTAAGGTACACCCGCCGGCAGCATGCATCCATGTCTCACCTTGTCTTGCAGGTTTTGCGGTGGCCCAGTGCATAAACCAGCACAGCTCACCGCCCATGTCCTCCCCGTCACCACCGGCCACCAGTGGGAGCCCCAGCGGCAGCACTAGCCACTGCGACTCGGCCAGCGGCAGCTTGTCGTCCACACCCTCCGCAGCCCAGAGCCCCCCAGGTACTGACCGCAGTTGGTGGGAGGGGGAGCGGGAAGACAGCCAGGGGCATGCCAAGCCCAACCCACCACCACCTCCCACGGTCTCTGGGTCAAAGCAAGAGGGGAGTGACCTTTGCACGTCTGTCCTCTGTGACACAGGAACTTCCTCCATGACATGCTGTCCAGCTCTTGGAACTTCGTCCTGATTGGGGAGTGGAGGGGCGCCACCATCCCCTCCATTGATGCACATGAGTGCAAAACTGTTGGTGCAGAGTGTGGGGTGGGAACAGTGCCCCTATCCCACCCAACTGCCACCCACAGAGGGCCAAGAAGCAAAGGCACTAGTGTGTTGAACCACCAAGAGACCAGGCTGCGGGTAGAGCCAGGGCCGGGCAGCCTAGCCCACAGGCCAGTATCCTCACTTCCCTCACCAGGCTGTTGTATCCCAGGGCACCTAACCCAGCCCACTCACGGTCAATAGGTGTGGCTGGGCATGCCCACCTCTCCCGTGTCCCCAGGCCCTGAGTGCCCATTCCCTCTATCTGCATTCATACTGATGTGAGGCAGGCCAGGTCACCCACCCAGGCTCAGTCACGTCTGAGCCTGGGCTACGTAGGGTTAGCTATGCGTCAAGCAGTGGCTGCTGTCTCACCTCTGATGCCCTCTGGGAAATGCAGACAGGTTCCCCCAGAGGCCAAGAGCAAGCCTGCCCCCTCGGCCTGGGCTCGGCCTGGCCTGGGACGTGCAGGGTCCTGCACTTGTGTGCCATGTGTCGCCTCCTTCTCCCTGCACTCGTCCTTGTGTGTGTCCATGTCATGTATCCAAACACAGCCCCTACATGAGGTGGAAGCCCTTGCCCGAGTGAACACTGGACCATACCCATCTCTGCATGAAACTGAAACCTCCAAGACCTCATTGTCAATACCAGGCCCTGGACATGGACGCCGCTCACTGAGCAGGGCTTGGGGCTCCGGAGCTGCCCCCCTGGGCCTATGCCCTGCCCTGTACCCTGCCCACCATGCCCTGGAGGGGTTGTCCCATCTCAAAATCAGGGCCTTTACCCTGCTACCAAGGATGCTGGCAACCCTGGGCCAAGAGTGATGTGGGGTCCTGGCCTCTCCAGCCAGTGCCCCACTTGTGACAGCCCACCTCCTCCCTGCTCTGCAGGCAGAAAAACAGCTCACTGCTGCTGCAGGGCACCTGCTGGGGTGCTCGAGCCACCAGGGAGCAGCTGGCAATCCCTGAAAGGAGCCCGGAGCCAGGGCAGCAGGATGGGGAGGTCCACCTTCACAGGCCTCCCCAGCCAGCCAGCCACATCTTGACTTCCCTTGGGGGATGGTTCCCACATGGGCCTGGTATCCTGCCAGGCAGAGCTGAGGAGCCAGGGACAGGAGGAGTGGCCTCTGTTTGGCCAAGTCCCCTCCCGCAGTTGCCTAGAGTGGCCTACCACTTGGGAGGCTGCCCTGAACCGCCTGCTGCCCAGGCTGCCTCCCTCCTGGGCCCATCCTCAGCCAGATAGCCAGGCCGAGAGCTGGAGCAGAGCGCTGCAGTGCGGCCATTGTCCTCACACCCCAGAGTCCAGGACACTCGCCATGCGGAGAGATTAGCAACCTCAGTGCTGCCTCGCTCCAGAAGGGTCAGCAAGGCTGAAAGTTGACCTAAGAGGAGACGCCTGGCTGAGATGAGCTGAGCCAGGCTGCCCTGAGTGTCCCCCCTTCCGAGACCCAGCCTCAGCGTTGTATCCTCAGGGGGCAGACACAAAGGCCCGGACGTGTGCAGTCACCTCCAGCTGCCCTTCTTGCCAGTCCCAATCCCCTCTCCACCAAAGCATCCGGCTCTTGCCAACCTTGGATGGATGTAGGCTCCCCACCTGGTATGCATGCAGGAGCACCCAGGCTGCAGGGAAGGCGAGGCCCGTCAGCAGCCAAGGAGCTGGCAGGGTCCTGGAGGAAGGAAGGCCCCTTTGACTCTGCCAAGTCACCTGGAGAGGAGCTGACTCCCTCCCCAGGGCAGCTGCAGGCCTGTGCAGAGAGAGGCAGCAGCCCTCTGGCCCAGGCCGCATGTTTGGGCTGCTCTGCCTCACGCAGGGCCTCAAACACTCCTCAGAGGGTCTGGACCCCGCACCAAGCCCTTTATCAGGATGTTGGGCTGCCCAGACTCCTAACGCCACACCCCAGGGGACTTCGCTGCCCCGCTAGAGTGCCCAGTGCTTGAGTTGCCCACTGCCCTTAGAGAAAGTCCCTGATGTCCCTGGGGCAGGGGGCATGCTCAGGGTGTTCTCTGGGAGGGGTGGCGCCCTGGAGGACCTGGGAGCCAGCCTCCTGCTCCCACATGGCTGGGGTAAAAAGCCAGGGTGGCTGCAGCTCCATCCCGGGGGAGAAAATTACAGGGCTGGGGTCAGCCCATTTGTTTTTCCTTAAACATTTCATGGTTTTGGAGGTTGCAAATAACCCCATTTTCAATCCAAATGCAGGCTCAGGGGAGCAGTGTCTGGCTCCCCTGTGTGCACACAGTGGCACCTACAGACACACGGAGGCGGGCACACGCCCCCTTCTGTGTGGATGTGAGAGCCAAGCGGTCCACACAGCCCCTTAGGGCCCCTTCCAGTCTCCCCTTGGAGACGTGCTGCCTTCGGAGCTGTGGTGACCTCTGGCCCTTCCCTAGGGTGCCCGGGTCAGGCTGAAGAGGAGAGAAGGAAGACGAGCTTGGTCCCTGGTGGCGCCTGGGGCCTGGGGGCCTCCCTGTGCCAGGCTGGTCCCTGCTATCCCCTCAGCCCATGGTCACCTTCGTGATGGGAATGGCCTTACCACCCCCTGTGCCCTGGATGTGGGGTCGCAGGCGGCCTCAGGAGGGTGCTCTTTCTCCCTTCCTGGTCTCCCACACTTCACCTGTGTCCCAGGCGTCTCCTTCCCACTGGACGCTCCTGACCGCCCTACTCCTGCCAGTGAGCACCCCCTCCCCGCCCCCACCCACCACCCATCACCGCTGGCTGGGTTCAGGCTTGGTTTCCAGAGGTCACCTATTGGCCCCGGGTGGTTGTGAAGACCACCCTGGGCATTGGGCTCCGACCAGCAGGCGTGTTGGGCTGTCATGTGGGCAGTTCTGCTCGGTGGGTGCGGCCACACTCACTGTCGTTTCTCCTCTGCGTCCGCCCTCTCCCCTCCGACCCCGGGCTTTCCGAGGAGCCCGAGCCCTGGTGTTCCCCAGCAGGACCAGTCCCCGCTGCCCTGGTGCTCGGCATCCATCGCTGCTGCTCTGTGTCGCCTCCTCTTGTGTCCTTGTGAAAGCCCGTGATCTGTCACTGTGTTTGCCTCAGTCAGGAGTGGCAGGAAAGGACGCCGGCGTGTGTTCAGCCTGTCGGAAGCCGACAGCCACGGCGGCCACTGGGTTTAGTGCTTCGAGCGGCAGCTGCCACGGCGCCTCCGCAGCCACCTCAGGCAGGTCTCCCCCCATGCCCGCGTCCGCTCCAGCCCAGTGGGCTACCCTGCCACTCAGCAGAGAGCTGGTGGCTGTGCTGCCCCAGTGACCCCAGCCCCTGAGCCCCTCCTTGGCGCCCCCAGCATCAGCTCGGGGGTGGGCAGTAGTCGCCAGAGAATCAGAATGTCATCGTCGTCCAAACCAACCCAGAAGTCAAACACATTTTCCCTTATTTGTCGGCCACCCTCACAGCCAAGGGGCATGTTTGCTGGGCACCAGCCAATGTCCCTTGTGACATGCAGCCTGGCTTGGGGGCCACCGGACCTGGCCCAGCTGACAGTGCACAAACCCTGCCCACGGGAGCCCTTTTCCTGTCTGATTTGAAAGCCTTTTCTTCCTGTGCTTCTCCCTCCCTCACCAGCCCTGCGATCCTCCCTCCTCCATCCTTCCCAGCCGCATGGGGTTCCCCAGCTCCTGAGGGGACCCCACGCCTGGCTGTCAGCACAGGCCTGCACCAAGGGGACTCCTGGGTGCCCACTCCAGCATGCTCAGTACCTCCGAGCCCTCCTTTGTTTCTCACTGGCCACCAGCTGCCCCTGGGCGCCAGGTCCCGGCCTTCATGTCTGCTGTTGAGAGCAAGCCGGAAGCTCCCAGGGGAGCCACCCTAGCCCCTGTGAAAGCCCGTGGGGAGCCCCCCCACCTTGAGTGGACACAGTTATAAGTCCCCTCCAGGAAGCAGTTCTTAGTGAAAAAAGTAGGGGGTGCAGTATTGCTGGTGAGGGCTCTGTGGTTTTTCTTTTCCTATTATTATAAAACGGAAGAGGAGCTGTTTTTGAGGGGAAGAATTGAGACCTTTTCTATGAAAATCATTGCTGCTTTTCCCGAAGAAGAGGCCAGTCCTGTGTCTGTGGTGTGGTTGGTTTGTCTGTCTCAATAACATCTGACTGCGCCACCCCACCTCCCACCAGGGGCCAGGGGAAGAGACTGGCCAGCCCTTACTGTCCCCATGCAGACCCTCGGGGGAGGGCGGGGGCACGGGAGGGGCAGGCCGCTCTGCCTAGCTGGCCTGACTGGAGAAGCCTGCAGAGGGGTGCTGGGTGGTGACCCTGAGCACCTGGGGAAGTGGCCTCCTTAAGGAGTGAGTGAGCTAGCGAGGGAGGGAGCTGGGCTTCAGGCCAACCAGGGTGGAGGCAGCTCAAGTCCCTGCCTCCATCCCTGTCGGTGCCACTGCGCCCAGACCACGGTTCTCTTGGGGCAGCAGCAGGGGCTGATTCCTTATGGAGCATTGGAACCTTCTGGTACCTGTCTTGTGGGGAGACCCTGGTGTGTGCTGAGGAGGCTCCCAGGAGGCCGTGCTTCCCGCCTTGTCCCATCTCTGTGCCCTTGGCCTCGCGTTCCTCCCGGTTCTCCCGTTGGTCTGCTCTGTGTTCCCTTTGCAGGTGTGCTTTGTTTGGGCTTCGCTTTAACAGACACACACTCACGCTGCCTCACACTCACATGCACTCACACGCAGTCACATTCACACACACACACACACATGTTCACACACTCATACACACACTCTCACACACACACACACACTCACAAACCAGAGTCGTGTGGAGCAGCAATGGCAACCAGGTCATCACTGCCAGTCCCAAGGCCCCAGCTGTTTTCACACTTAACCACTCCACAACCACGACACCGGCACCAATAAATGAGACTTTGCCCCCTCAGGAGCGCTTCAGAAAGCCCTGCAGGACGGCTGGCACGCCTGTCCAGGCAAGCTGCCCTGGAGAGCAAAGCAACATCAGCCCGGCCAGCTGCCCAGCCACACCGAGCAGCCGGGGGGAGTCCGGGGAGGGGCAAAGCCTCCCCAGTCACTCTTCAGGTGCCTCTTGGCCGGGGGAAGGGAGGCTCCCCTCGGCCCTGCGCTTGGTTTGGGTTTGCAAGCTGCAGAGTTTTCCAGAACTGCCTTCTCTCCTTCTGCTTAATTGCAGTGGGCTGTCTCTGGTGAGCGAGAGCAGCCCCTGTGAAGGGCCTGGAGTCTGAATCCCCACCCCCCATTTCTTCCCCTTGCCTGGGGCACCCCCACCCCGAGAGCCTGCCTGCCCCCCCCCGCCCCTGCATCCAGTGCTGTGGTTTCACCCCACTCTGACCGTGCACGAGCCCCCAGCCCTGCCCTCATCCCAAGTCAGGGCAGCCCGGGTCCTGGCCCCTCAGCCAGACATGTCTGCCGGCTGCTATTTCCCCGGCAGGACTCGGAGATGCTCCCTGGGCCCCCAACCTTAGCCACCCGATCCTAACCCCTTGAGCGGACTCAAATGAAGACTTCATCCAAGACGGACGCCAGTGTGGGAGAGTGCCAACAGCTAAGTCCATCTGTGTTTTCTTTCTCACCCCCACCCTACCCACAGATGACCCCATGACTCCTGAACAGCCACGGCCCCACCTTCCTGACCACTTGGCGGTCGTCAGCGAGACAGAAGCAGGCCCCAGGCCCAACAAGAGCCCCGTGAGGAGTGCAGATGTGGAAACAGCCACCCTGTCCCCCAGCCTCGTCCCTGCACCGCAGCCCACCATCTCCCTGCTCTGCGAGGACACGGCCGACACCCTCAGTGTGGAGTCACTGACCCTCGTCCCCCCCGTGGACCCCCACAGTCTCCACACCCTCACCGCCATCCCCCTGCCCCCCGCAGCCACCTCGGGCCAGGAGGCTGGGCCCCTAGAGCCAGCAGGCCCCAGCGAACACTGATCCAGCTTGGAGAGGCCATCCTTGTGGGACCTCCGCACCGTACCCAACAGCCCCTCCAGCCCTCTCCTGAGTTCTCCTGTGTAGAGACACACACCACACACACACACACACACACACACACACACACACACCCCGTACCTCTTCCAGAACAGAGCTGAGCCCTGAAGGGGTCCTGCTGAGTGACCTTGCCCCACCCCCGCCCCATCGCCGTGTGCCCAGAGATGGACAAGACCTGTGGGAAGTTGCACCTTAGATGGGGAGAACTGGGCCGATGCTGCCTGGTCCCCTGGGGTGTTTGTTTCCGCCTGGGCAGCAGATGAAAGCATCTAGTGGAAAAGTCCACACACACACACACACACACACACATCCCCCTGCCCTAAGGTTTGGTGTCAGTCAGACGCGGAGCGGGGAGTTCGGCTTTGCTTTCCCGCAAACGTCCCAGGGCTCTGTTGGCAACTCGCTCTCTGCGTGGCGCTCCGATTTCTGGTCAGTGACTGGGGTTTCTCTCTGACTCACACTCACTCTGCCAGCCTGTGGATGATGATAAAGCCCCTTCCTGGAAAGTTTGGACGATTTTGCAAACAAACTCGGAAGTTACGCATACTCTCGGAACATGGAGCACTGAGAGGGTCAGGGCTGCTTTGGCGTCCCACCTGGGGGAGAGCTGGCTGTGGTCAGGGAGGTCCGCCGGCTCCCAGACTCCGCGGTCTCAGGAGAACTCAGCCGGGACAGCCTCAAGCTGCCTTTTCCATCCTCACCCCATCTGCATCTAAGAAAGACCACGCACGTGACAGACCACTCGCTCCAGACGCCGTGATGGAATCCAAGCAAGGGAAGCTGCCCTCCCCCACCCCCACTCCACTTGCCGGGCACTGTCCAGTGTTCCCTGCCAGATGCAGGTGCCCAGTGACCCCAACTGAGTTTGTTGTCCCCCCTGCTCTCATGGCTCTGAGCACTGCAGGCTGGCAGTCAGAGGCTCAGATGGCCGCACTGGCTCGCTGAGGCGGGTCCCTGGGCTCTGAGGACAGCACCTCCCAGGCTTCAGGCCATTTAGTCGGGGCTGGCCCTCGTGTCCTGGCTGGTGGGGACCGGCAGTGCACGTCCTCGTGCCAGGGTCTAAGAGGAGCCCAGGCACTCGGGTCGAGCCACCTGGCAGCAGGCATAGCCAGCAAACCTAGTAGCTGGCACTGGGGGCCGGGGGGGG